TGGCTGGGCTTCCTTGTTCGGCTGCAGGGGAGAAGAAGAATGAGCAGAAACACGCGTATAGGGAAGAAGAAAGAAGGAAAAAATAGCTGATCCTTATCCAATTCATTTTCTCTTTTTAAGTCCCTCAAGTTTAGAAAGTTTTACCATTAAGCTCAAAAATATTATTGTTTCACAATTAAGCCCTTAACTAAATGCTAAAATATCAAAAAATTTGGGATATTACATAAATTTCCATGATTCATTATAAATTAAAAAAAATTTAACAGAATTTTCCCTAAAAATTGTATTTTCCCCTTGTACACAAAATATATATAAAAATACAATCAACCAAAACAAAAACAACCAAAACAAGAAGGTTAAACCCCTATTTTGGGCCCTGAACTATTGTACGGACCCCCGATTTGGTCCTTGAACCAAAGAAATCCCTAATTTGGTCATTGAACTATTGTACAGACCCCTAAGTTGGTCCCTAAACTATTGTATGGACCTCCGAATTAGTGCCTAAACTATTATACGAGTCCCCAATTTGGTCCTTACTATTTACCAATTTAGCCCCATCTTGGTCCTTTTGTTAAATAATAGCTCAAGGACCAAATTGAGGCGAAATTATAAACAATAAGGACCAAATTGGGGTTTCGTACAATAGTTCAAGGACCAACATAGGCCAAATTATAAACAGTGGGGACCAAATCGGGGTTCGTGCAATAGTTTAGGGACCAAATTAGGGGTTTCTTTAGTTCAAGGACCAAATCGAGGGTCTGTACAGTAGTTCAGGGACCAAAATAGGTATTTAACCAAACAAAAAACTGTCAAACAAATTACTTAATATTCATTAGAGATTTAATATAATTATCAATACCATATTATAAATACTTAAATTTCCATGATTAATTATAAATTTTTAAAAAAAATTGACAGAGTTTCCCCTAAACCATATTATATGTACTTAAATTTCCATGATTCATTATAAATTTAAAAAAATTCGATAAAATTTCCCCTAAAAATTGTATTTTCCCCTTATACACAAAATATATATATATACAATCAATCAAAACAAGATTAACCAAAACAAGAAACTGTCAAATAAATTACTTAATATTCATTAAAGACTTAATATAATTATCAATACCATATTATAAGTACTTAAATTTTCATGATTAATTATAAATTTTTAAAAAAATTGACAAAGTTTCCTCTAAAAATTGTATTTTTCCCCTGCACACAAAATATATATAAAAATACAATTAACCAAAATAAGAAACTATCAAACAAATTATTTAATTTTCATTAGAGATTTAATATAATTATCGATACCATATTATAAGTACTTAAATTTCCACGATTCATCATAAATTTTTAAAAAATTCGACAGAGTTCCCTAAAAATTGTATTTTCTCCCTATACACAAAATATATATAAAAATACAATCAATCAAAACACGATTTTCTTGTGTGATACTCAATAAAATAAAATTTAATCCGATTTCACTTAAATTGAATAAACATAGGAGAATTCATGTTGTCCCAATTAACCAATTAATAAGGTATCCTTAGTTTTAATTGATTTTTCAATATGAATAAAGTTAATGAAAGAAATATAACTTAAATTGATTTCTCTCAAGAAAATAATAATCGTTACAAAGAATACTTACAGTATACTCCTAAACTTGCTCATCAATATATGTTGACATTTTATCTTTTCCCTTTGGATGATGCTTTTTTTTGCACAGATCACATCAACAAATGATGGATCCCTATGTTCTGGATCTTTTTCCTTCTACAATATCACATGTTTAATTATTGTGTTAATTCACACAAACATGATAATTAACAATAAGATTATTATAATCAATTATGAGATGAAATCTAACACTTAGATGTAAAATTTTTACCAAATTTCCCACAAAGTCATCATAATCCATAGATCCACCCGTGTGGGTTACCTTGAGGCCCTTTGCTTGATTTAACTTTGCTTGCTCTCTACATGCATTGAATTGAGGGTCCTGCATCCATTTGTACTTTAACTTCTCTCAAACCTCATCAGACATGTAAGTTTTTTTTTAGTAAAATTCTTCTTTCTACATGAAGCTTGAATATCAGTCACCATCCAGTTAAATCTTTTTTCACATACTCATAGAAATGCTATATGGACAACATTCTCATCAGCAGGGTCCCACTCATATCTATTCTGAAAAATCAAAAAATAGAGGTATCATATATTCATGTATTAATTGATGCACAAAAAAAATTGCACATATATAAATAGAAACATCTTGAATTTATTCAATAAAACTACAAACTCGAAAATCTTGCCAATACACACCCTTGTGCTCAAGCGATACTGAGGCCTAACCTGTATATGCATCTCATATATTGGACTTAAGAATTATTGAAATATCCTTTCGGACTTGTTTAGGTAATATCTTCCCATTCCAATTCCCTATGCTCAGCTTCTAGGTTGGATCCTCTGGCAATTTTTGCCCTTTAGCAATACCTCGCCATTTTTTAGGTTGAGGAGGCGAGAGTGCAGTTGAATTAGTGTCGTTGGCATTATCAGTTGTCTCCATCGGAGTCTCTTGGACAATAGTACTGGAAGATCCAGTTGCTTGTGATTGATTTTTTCTAGTAGGCCTTTGGGTGGCAATGTTAACAGCCTTGTCACCCCTACATGATTCAGTTAAGCAATTCACTGCAATGAAAATAAGAAATAATACTACATTAGTATATGAATGAAAAAAATGTATTAGATTTAAATTTTAAATAAAAATAAATCAAACATGAAATTTAAAGACAATATCTAAACAAAATAATAATCACCAAATTAATTTCTCCTTTATATCAATCAACAATACATATCACCCACTGTGTTATAAAATACCACACATATAAACTACTCAATAATAAAAAAGTATCTATGTGTTACTAATTAATTAATCACTACTATCACTCTCAGAAATATATTCAATATTATCTTCCTCAAATGTTGAAAAATCTTCAAATTCTTCCTTTTCCTGCTCATCCTCTTCCTCATATTCTCTGTCATCATTCACATACTCAAATTCGACATTAATGGCAGATACAGTCCCATCAGTATGCTGAATAGGTTAATACAATACCAAATCAGTTTTAGTTGGTTGGAGAGGTAGAGGGTCATCATCTTGAAAAATGGGTTCTGGCTCATCATGTTGGTCTTCTTGCTCATCTGGCATCTCAATAATACTTCTTGCCCTACATTTCAATGCAGCAAGTCCTCCCTTCCTATTAGAATTATGTGATGGATATGGAGTGTAAAATACCTGTTTAGCTTGACTCACTAAGATGAAAGGCTCATAAGTTCTTAGTTTTCTATTTGGATTAATATCAACAAGACGATGTTTTCGGTCAACTACAATTCTTCATGCAGGAGGAATTTCATACCAATCACATTTAAATAGAACAATCGTCTATCGATGTTTGGAGCCAACATATTGAAGCTCAATCACTTCCTGCAATAACCCATAAAAATCCAAATCTGATCTTGTTCCTATGGTTCCTGTGATACACACAGCTATTCATTGTTCTCTTATTTCTTCCATATAAGGCCATGTGAAATAGAAAACGATTTACCCAAAAGCCTTTATAGCATGAAACAATCCAAGATGGGCCATGTGCCAAACAAATCAAATGCTCATCAATGCTATCAAACTCATCATGTAAAACTTATATCACATGAATTATTTTATTAGTTATAATTATATAATAATTAATTAATAATTATTAAAATAATTGAATAAACTTACCGATTTTTGAAACCATGACACAAGATAGTTGGAACGTTTCATCTGTATTTGTTGGGGAGTCATATTTTAACATTCTTCCTCTTTAAAAACCCTAATCAAGCATCGAGCGTCCATTATAGTTATGTGTAAATTAAATATAGATTATTTTCTTTCTCAAATGTTGTTAAAGATAAGGAGTAGGGAAATGCAGTCACTCAATCCATCCCTTCAGTTCTTCACAATTCATTAAAACATAATACATTGCAACATTACGCTTTTTCGTTGTCAACACTCCTCGTTGTTGTAAAGAACCAATTGGTTTTCCAAGATTATTGAAAATTGAAAGGCAATTATTAACTGGATGGCCTAAGCCAACAAGATTTCTGAGGATGCGGTCACTTCTTGTCTCAACTTCTCCTTAAAAATAAGGTGAGATAAAGTATGAGATCTCATTCGTTATATACTTCTCACATATTGATCCTTTTGGATGGACTTTATTTTTCACTGAACTCTTCAATCCATGCATTCGTCTATTTCATGAAAAAAAAAAAACTAATATATTAAAAACCATATTATATTTTATAATATAGATTTAAAATATTAAACAAAATTTACTATTCGAGTAATACTTCTCAAATGGATACATCCAATGGAATTACATTGGTCCCCCCACCTTGGCTTCATATAGAAGGTGGATTGCTAGATGCTCTATCGAATCAAAAAAAGGAGGGAAGATTCTTTCAAGTTGGCATATTGTTTCTACAATCTTCCCATTCCAAATCTCCATATCTGTAACCTGAATGGTTGGAGAACATAAGACTCTAAAAAACTCACTAATCTTAGTAAATGCTTCCCAAACTTGCTTTGGGAGAAAATCACGAAATGCAATTGGAATGAGACTTCGCATGAATATGTGACAATTATGACTCTTCATCCCACTAACTTTTGCCTCTTGCATATTCACACACCGAGATATGTTGAATGCAAAACCATCAGGATATCTAAGATTCTTTAGCCATTGGCACACAAATTTTCTTTGCTCCCTGTTTAAGACATAAGTGGCATTCAGTTTTTTGCCCACATTATAGCTTGTTTTCGGTATACAATGACTTGACCTATTACAATACAATGCCATATCCATCCTTGCCTTCAAGTTGTCCTTCGTCAATGGGTCATCTATGACGGTAGGAAAGATATTATCAAAAATTTTTTTCTCAAAATGCATTACATCAAGTTTATGACGGATTAAATTTGTGCTTCAATAAGGAAGCTCCCAAAAAATACTCTTTTTAACCCAGTTATGCCAATGACCAAATCCTTCGATCACTTGCCTTTGGGATGGTTTCCCAAATAGTATATTGGGCAATTGCTGAATTTGTCAATGCATATCATCACCCGACAATCTCTCTGATGGAGCAAGATTCTCTACATGGCCTTTTTTTAAATCATTCCTATTTCTCCTGAATGGATGATCGAGAGGTAAAAACTATCAATAACAATCAAAAAATGATATCTTTCGACCATTTAGAAGGTGGAATGCTTTAGAATTTTCTTGACAATATGAACATGATAATCTACCGTGTGTGCTCCATCCAGATAACATACCATATCCAAGGAAGCTAGTAATTGTCCACATAAGTGCTGCTCTCACAATGAAATGTTCATGCCTTAAACTATCATATGTCTTCACCTTGTTATACCAAAGTTTCTTTAATTCATCAATCAGTGGCCGTAGTATAACATCAATATTTTTTCTAGGACTTTGAGTACCTTGTATTATCAAATAAAGAAAGATGGACTCCGGTTTCACACACATTGATGGAGGTAGGTTGTAGACAGTAAAAAATACAAGCCAACATGAATATAGGGCTGATGCATGTCCAAATGGCTGAACCCATCTGTGCACAATCCAAGCCTTTCATTCCTTGGATCTGATGCAAAGTCGAGGTAGGTGCGATCAAAGTGTTTCCATGCCTTAGCACTGATAGGATGCACAATCTTTTGAAATACACCACCACAAGTCAGGTGCCATATCATGTGTTCAGCAGTTTTTCTACACATGTACAACCTTTTGAGTCTAGGTGTAATTGGGAGATACCACAATGACTTCCTTAGAATATGTTGATTTTGTTGTACATGTCTCTGTTTATAACAAGGTTCACCACATATTGGACATGTGATGTAGTTTTTGTTTTCATATTCACCATAATACAAGAAGCAGTTATTAACATAAACACCATACTTCTTCTAAACCAGACTAAAGCACCTCATCATCTTTTTAGCACTGTAGAAATTTTTTGGAATTCTATCCCGATCCTTTAGCTTCATCCATCTCCTAGTACACTTTAACATATAATCCCAATTAGCCAGACTCATATTATAAAGTGTCTTTGCATTCATAAAATGAGACATCCATTTTAGTATTGTAGCACCATCATCACATCCATCATAAAGTGGCATGTTAACAACTTGTAAAATATCAAAAAATTCATTTGCATCACCCATTGGCTCCTCACTGGTTTGTTCATTCATATTATATTCTATACCATGTAAATTTGCATCCATAACCATATCTCTAATTGAATCATTACCTTGTTCTTCCATCACAAAGGGAGCTGCCCTAGAGGATTCCCACCACTGATGACATTGTCGCTTTCGCACTAGCTACTTTCTATGTGCAAGCCAAACTATATACCCGTTCATAAAACCTTTTTTTGTCAAATGACATTGCACACAGTAACACGACAATGCCATTCTTGGTTCATACATTTATTGCAAGGACATTTAATCCGATTTCTACTATAAAAATCTGGATTATACTGGAAAAATACATAATCCAGGAATGTCTCCACACCAATTTTGAATTCATCAGTATAACAGCCATTATCATCTAAACGATAATTCATCTAAACGATGATACATCCAATCTCGATCTCCCATCATGTGAAATATTTCCTTAAATTTATATTAAAAAATTTCATCTCCGTACACAATAAATAATATATCTACTTTAATAATAATAAGTTACATATAAATCAATTAATTAAAATAATCAATATTTATTAATCCAGTAAATAATGGAATCAAAATTTTATGATGAAGTAGTTAATTAAATTAACCATAGTTTAGGGAAGTATAAATATGCAGTTATGATTTATTAACTAATCAATTATAAGCATTGTAATACACTATAATTTAGTAATTAAGCAATTATAGTCACTGAAAGTAATTTTAATAAATAGTATCAACTAATCAATTTTTAATCGATTAAAACATATAATTGTACTTTATTAAGCAATCGAGTAATCACTATAATCAGAATTTACCAATCAATTAATTAATATCTTCATAATTTACAAATCAATTAAATAGTATAATCATAATCATTGTAATCAAGTAATTAAATGAATTAATTATAGTTTACTTATCAATTAAATTATTGTGTAAATATATGATTTACTAATCAATCAATTAATCAATGTAATTATAAATTTTTAATCAATTAAACAATTTAATTAAGTATAATTTAATTATCAATTAAAGAATTTAAGTATAATTGACTAATCAATCAATTAATCACTAAACCATAATAAATCAATCAATTAATTAATATTATTTTAAATCAATAAAATCATAATTTTAAAATAAATCAACTAATTTATATGATCATTATTTACCAATCGAAATAAATAACATAATAAAAAATTTATAATAAATAAATTTTAAAAATTAATTAATTGAATAAATTAATTAAAGTTTACTTAATTAACAATTAAATATATTGTTATGATTTACTAAATCAAGTAATTATAATCACTGTAAATAATTATATTTTTTAATCAATAAATCAATTTTTAATCAATTAAAGAATAAAATTATAATTTAGTAATCAATAAACTAATCAATATAACCATAATTTATCAATCAATTAATTAAAATCTTCATAGTTTACAAATCAATTAAATAATAAAATCATAATTTTATAATCAAGTAATTGAATGAATTAATCATAGTTTACTTATCAATTAAATTATTGTGTAAATATAATTTACTAATCAATCAATTAATCAGTGTAATTATAAATTTTTAATCAATTAAACAATACTAATTACGTATAATTTAATTATCAATTAAAGAAAATAATTATAATTGACTAAACAATCAATTAATCACAATAATCATAATTAATCAATCAATTAGTTATTATTATTTTTAATCAATATACTCATAATTTAGAAATAAATCCAATAATTAATATGATCATTATTTACCAATCAATTAAATAATATAATCAAAATTGTAGAATAAAATAATTTATGTAATTAATTAATTGAAGAAATTAATCATAGTTTATAACTTAGCAATTAAATATGTTAATATGATTACTAAATCAATCAATTATAATCACTGTGACTAATTTTATTTTTTAATTAATTAACCAATTTTGAATCAATTAAAGCATATAATTACAATTTATTAACCAATTGATTAATCACTATAATCATAATTTACCAATCAATTAATTAATATCTTCATAATTTACAAATCAATTAAACAGTATAATCATAATTATTGTAATTCAGTAATTGAATGAATTAATCATAATTTACTTATTAATTAAATTATTGTGTGAATATATGATTTAATAGTCAATCAATTAATCAATGTAAATATAAATTTTTAATCAATTACACAATTTAATTAGGTGTAAATTATGTATCAATTGAAGAATATAATTATAATTGACTAATCAATCAATTAATTACTATAATCACAATTAAGCAATCAATTCATTAATATAAATATTATATTTATTCAATATAAGTGTCACGCTGTCACGCCCCAGAACCCAAATTCGGGGACGCGACAGACGTCGTATACTTGTAAGAGGGTCTCACAAATGCACAAGACTCGGAACTTATCATACCACAATCTGATACCATCGAAATCTGAAGATCAAATTTTATAATCTGCTCTGATTTGATAAAATCTCCAAATACACTCTAGTTTACAAGATCATGATTTATTTCTAGAATATATATCAATCTCGAAATGGCTAGCCTTCTAACTTGTCACTTCCCGTGGTTTCCCTGTCCTCAATTTCGCTTCTTGAAATAGTGAACAAGGAAAACCTATGAGATAAACTTAGTAAGTAAAATATGTAGTGCCCCTTATCAAACTTAAAGCATGCCAACAAGTACAATAACGAAAAACAGATACAGTACGGGAACGAAATAGACGTCTCCTCTATAGGTCACGGCCAGTGTTATAAACCTCTTACTGGCAGGCACACGATTTGCTGGTGTATAACCCCCACTAGCAGGGTTGAACGAACCGGTTCTATCAATAACATGTCGACATGTGCTAGCGTATAATCCCCACTAGCAGGGTCACTAATAACATGACCACATCGGAGACAAAACAGGCTGAAGTTAACAGAAAAATCATAATTCACCAATCACTTTCAAATCCTCAAGACAATCAATTAAACTTCAAGTAGCATGCTCAATTTAATGAAAAGTATAAAAATTTCATTTCAATCGATCATACTTGTGTAAAACGGGTTTAGTCCCGCCATCACTTCAAAAACAAATCAAAACATATTTTTAAAAACAGTACAAGCATTATCATAAATTTACTTACCTCACTCGCATAAAACCGAGCACTCAATCTCAGTGCTAACTGACATAATGATTGGGAACCTAATCAAAATATTTCAAGGATCAATACCGTACTATCACAAATTCACACTGAAGTCATCATTAGCACTATCCCCTAATCACGATGCTATTTCTATAAATCTCCACATTATCAGATATCTTCAAATTTATTCTTATATCACAAACTAATCATTTAAATCCCTGTTAATGGTCGACCATCTATGCGTGAACAGTGTTCTGGGAACAGTTCGTGAACAGTAACCACGACGTGAATAGTAACTCCCACTTCCAAAATTGGCAAAACCATAGCCTATTCTCACGGGATTGTTCTCCAAAAAATCTCACAACAATCAATTAACACTCAATCATATAAATCCCACTTGAATTAAGCTAAATCATGGTCTAATTACTATCAATTTTCTCCCCTAATTAATCCAGAATTTCGGACACAAAGGGCAGCAATTAAATGGCTAAAACTTGCACTTAGAGAAGCTGCCACATACCATAATTCTCCAGCTGTAGAAACCGGAGCTGCAGGGGGAGAGAAGCCGACGGCAGTGCAGGGGGGAAGCTCACGGAAACTACCCAAAATTTGGAGAAACAAAAGGGAATTAAAGTAAACCCAAGGCAATTCAAGCTAGAGAAGGGAGATTCATGGCTATTTCTTACCCAAAATCAGAGAAATTCGCAACCCACAAAGCAGGAGCAGCCGGCGGTGAGGAAGGAAGAACAGAGCAGATCTAGATTTTCCAACAGGGGAAGAAGGATTTCAAGGCTCCAATCTTGCTCTTGAACAAGAAAAGAAGGCCAAAACCAAGCTTATCTCACCGGTTTCTCAAAGGCTGGTGCTGGGTTCCCCTTTCTTTTTTTTTCTTCGGGCTGCAGCGGGAAGAAGAGCAGAAACTGGTCTGAGGAGGAAGAAAAGAAAGAAAGAAAAGAAAAAATAAGGAAGCTGATCCTTATCCTAAAATCTTTTCCTCTTTAAGTCACTCAACTTTCAAAATGTTGGCTATTAAGCCCAAAACAATATTTCCTCTCACAATCAAGTCCTTAACTTACTTATTTATCCTAAAAATTTTTGGGGTATCACACACGCCTCAAAACCCGAATTCGAGGCACGACAGACACCGTGCACTCGTGAATGAATCCCACAAATGTACAAGGCTCAAAACTTATCCAATTCACATCTGACGATCCAATAACTTAGATCGAAAATCTCAAAATTAATTCTATGTCCAACATGACTTAAGCTCAAAATCTCGAGATCAAATCTTTTGTAAACTAACAATCCATTAAATGAATGTATAAAATCTCCGATTAAACTTTAGCTTACAAGATCATGATCTATATCTCAAATCTATATTCACTTTACAAAATGGCTAGCCTTCTAACTCGTCACTCCCCTTGGTTTCCCGTCCTCAGTTTTGCTTCCTGAAATGGTGGACAAGGAAAAACTATGAGATAACTCAGTAAATAAATATGGATAGCCCTTGGGTAAAACTTTTAGCATGCCGGATAAACAGTTTAACATAACAAAACGCTCTGATAAACTGTTAATGCAGAATCAAATTCAGTTCACTTGCAAAGCATTCAATGACAAATCGTCAATGCAAAATCAGATTTAGTTCAATAACAAATCGTTCAATGACAACTGTTCATGCAGAATACAACTCATCAGTAGTCTCATCTATAGGTCATGACCAGCGTTTATAAACCTCCCACTAGCGGGCACAGTAGTAGTACCAGTGTTTAACAACTCCCACTGGCAGGCATCAGTAATAACCAATGTTTAACCCCATTGGCAGGGTTACAGAAGTATCAGTGTTTAACAACTCCCACTGGCAGGCGTCAGTAATGGTACCAGTGTTTAACAAACTCCCACTGGCAAGCGTCAGTAATTACCAATGTATTATTCCATTGGCAGGATGAACCGGTTCTACAGAAATACATGTCGACATGTGCTAGCGTTTATAAACCTCCCACTAGCGAGCACAATAAACATGACCATATCAGAGACAAAACCATGCAGGATTTACAGAAAAACCCGAAATTCATAATTAATCTCCAATTTCAGAAATAACCGAAAAATTTCCATATGGGCATGGATTTAACAGAAAAACTCAGCATTTACAAAACTCTCAGTTCATCAAAACAATTCAGTCAATTCCAATTAGGCATGCTCTACTCAATGCAAATGAAAACAATTTCATGTGGGCATGCTCAACTCCAGAAAAACAATGAAATTCTCATTTTCATTCCAATCATGCTCAATTCCCGAAAATAATAATTTTCATAAAAATCATCACAATTTTCATTTCAGTTTAATCACGCTCAGATGCTGATAAAATCAATTGAAACCTTGCCACCATCTCAAAAACAATTTAAAACATGCTTTGAAATCAAAAGGCTTTACCATAATTTACTTACCTTACTCACACAAAACAGAAGGCTTAACCCAAGTGCTACGGTGACAGAACGATTAAAACCTAATCACAATATTCCAAAGTTAATACCGCACTACCACAAATTTAAAGTGAAATCATCATTAGCACTACCCCTAATCACAATGCTATTTCTATCAATCTCCACATGACCGGACATCTCCAAATTTATTCTTATATTACAAACTAAACATTTAAATCATCGCTAATTGTTAACCCTCGGTATGTGAACAGTGCCTATGAACAGTACCGTGAATAGTAACTTCAACTTCCAAAATTAGCAAAACAATAACTAATCTCACGGGATTTTTCTCCAAAATCACAACAACCCACTTCAAGTTAATTTACACTTAAACCACACTTAAAAACATAGCTTAAAGCTACCAAAATTTCCCCAATCTCACGGGCAGCACATGGGGAGCATGGCCTTGGCAACCCACAACTCACACACACAGGGATTTTCTCTCCAGAAAATTCACAGCAACAAATCAAGCCATTTCTACATGAATTAAAGCTAAAGTTACATACTTAAATGGCTGCCAAATTTCTTCCTATTTCCACAAATTTTCGGACAACACAGAGCATTAACTAAATGGACAAAACCCAGCAATTAAATGGGTAATTTAGGGCTTAAAGAAGTGGCCATCATACCAGAATTTAGCAGCTGCAGAACCAGGCCTAGCAGGGGGGAGAAGCCGGCGGCAATTTGCAGGGGCAATTCACGGCTACCTCAAAATTGAAGGAGATAAGAGCAATTAAGGTAAACCCAGCCTAAATCAAGCTGAAAAGATGAAGTTTATGGCTGTGGCTTACCCAAAAAACGCCCAGGAATTCAAACCCACATAGCAGCCGGCGGACAGGGGAGAAGAGCAGAGCAGAACCAGGATTTTCTGGGTTGAGAGGGAAGATTCTAAGCCCCAAATCTTGTGATCTAACAAGAAAGGAAGAGAAATTTCATCAAGCTCACCGATTTCCCAAGGCTGGTGCCGACGGCTTGGAGGGGCTGGTCGGGGAGCAGAAGAAGAGAAGCAGAACACGCAGGTCTGATGAGGAAGAAAAGAAAGAAAGATAAAAAAGAAAAGGAAAGCAACTGATCCTTATGTTAATTTTCTTTCTTTTTAGTCCCTCAACTTTGGAAAATTTTGCTATTAAGCCCCTCAATAATATTTTTTCTCAAATAAGTCCCTTACTTAATGCTAAAATATCACCAAATTTTGAGATATAACAATAAGCATAATTAATAAATCAATCAATCAATTATTAAGCAATTAAATATGTAATTATGATTTACTGATCACTCAATGAGACAAAATTATAATTAATTATCATTTTTAATCAGTTAATAAATTTAATTAATTATATTATTTTTATAATTAAATATTATATTTATCATTCATTAACCGGTAAAATTATACTTTCTTGATCAATTCAAGAATATAATCACAATTTATAAATTACGCACTATATTAATAATGTATCAATTAATTACAGAATATAATTATAATTTATTAATCAATCAATTAGTCACTATAACTATAATCTATCAATCAACACTTAATGATTCAATCAACATTTACTAATCAACAATTAGTCACAATTTAGTCATATTTCTTTTTAATCAATCAATTAATCATATTTTACTAATTACTAATATCATAAAATTTTTTAACTCTTTCTGAACTAAATTTCTAAAAAATAAAGAAAAAAATTTATACAACATACTTGTATTTTGGCCAAACTTGTAATTGACAAATCTTCAAAGGGAAATTAATGATTTGAGAGGAATGAATGCACCTAAAAAAACAACAACAAAAGCAATTAACAATAAATAGATAAAATTTAACTAACCTTAATTCAAATTAACAAGTATAATTCCAAACCCAAGATACAGTAGAACACAAATGGTGTAGAAATTGGATATTGTTGTTAAGAGGGAATTATTACCAAAAATTTTACCAAAAATAGGTCATAAAAAAGAAAAAAAAAAGAAAAGAAAGGAAGGATGCAGTTAATCATACCTTTCTTGGATCCAAAGCCTTAAAAACTACTATATATTAACTAAATTACGAAGCAGCAGCTCATAGTGTCTGATTTCAACCAACACTTGAGAAGTTAAGAGGAGATGATATAAGTAAGCAAAGTAAAGGCTTTCCCATGAAAATGCAATGAGAATGAATGAGTCTTTGAAATCTGAATGGTAGATTTTACATAGAAATCAGAAAGAAGAAAAAAAAGGGGGGGGGGGGATTTCCCATGATATTTTCGATCAGGCCTACTGACCAAAACAAGCATGAGAGATATGTAAATTTGTAGATTTCCCATGCGTGACAGGGGAAAAAATTCCCTTGCATGTTTCGATCAATGTGACTAATCGAAACATGCAAGGGAGATCTGCAAATTTGCAGTTCTCCCATGCATTGGCAGGGAACAAATTGAAATCCGAATGGTAGATTTTACACAGAAATCAGAAAGAAAAAAAAGGGAGGGGATTTCCCATGATATTTTCGATCAGGCCTACTGACCAAAACAAGCATGAGAGATCTGTAAATTTGTAGATTTCCCATGCGTGATAAGGGAAATAATTCCCTTGCATGTTTCGGTCAGTCACACTGACCGAAACATGCAAGGGAGATCTGCAAATTTGCAGTTCTCCCATGCGTTGGTAAGGAACAAATTCCCTTGCATTTGTTTCAGTCAATCATATGCAAGGGAAATTTGCAAGTAGATTTCCAGCTTGTTTTAGTCAATCACTCTGACCGAAACAAGCTCTCATACCTTGACAGGGAATCTGCACATTTACCATGCATGTTTCGGTCAACCATGCTGAACGAAAATGCTTGTTTCTGCAAAGTTTGCATATTTGCAGCATTGTTTTGGTTAGCCAAACATGCAAAAAACCTGCAGAAACTAGCATGGGAATTGATGCAGACAGAGAACCGTAAGAGTTTTAGTTCGGTCAATTGTTTTGACCGAATTAATAATCTTTTCACTTATTTATTAATATTTAATATAGAAACAGAAATAGGGGTGAACCTATTTCTTCATCTTATTCGGTCACTATGCTTGACTGAATAAATGGCTATTTTCACATTCGGTCAAGACACTTGACAGATTTGTTTTTGGCGCTAATTGGCGCCAAATTAATTCGGTCAATTGTTTTGACCAAAATAAAAGGAGACCGAATTGTATGACTTTTCCCATTTGTTTTGGTCAAACTTGATTTTCGGTCATTAAATGTGACCGAACTAATAGTTTTTCGATCAAGAAATTTGCTTGACCGAAAAGGTTAACTTTCTAGTAGTGGGACACCTCCTTAGGAGGGGTGATGATTTTTAAGGATATATTTAGAAATATCTCTATTTTGTCAAGGATAAATAGCCTAGTACTGATATTTGTGTCTTGATATCACTGATTTGACTAAATTTTAGAGATGACTCGATTGTAGAAATATCTTGCTTCCATGGATTACACTTTAGGTAGGTTGCTAGCAAGGTACCTAGTGCTTTAGAGTTTAGTTTTAGAGGAACAACTCATTTCCCCTACCTGTTTTGCACTTGGATTCTTGTTTTGGTCCTAATTAACACATTATTAATCTTCTGAGGATCTTGATCCTAACTATGGATTTATTTTGTTAATTAATTCTTGTTACTTGAGATGCTAGATCTTGATGTCTTGGTTATATTTGCCCTTGAATCCTTGTTCTTGTTGTCATTATTGAAATCTTCTTGTGGACCTAGTTTTTTTTTTTAATCCTATTGCATATCTCATGGTTAAATCTTGCCTCTTGATTTTGACTGCTGGGTTAAACTTGAACTTGATTCTTGGTTGATGTTGTTTTTGTAGCTGAATTTCTAAGGCGTTCTGCCTTGCATTCGTCTGTTCCAGTATTTGTCTAAGCATTCTATATTATGTCTATTTGTTTAAGTATTTATTTGAGCATTCATGCAAACCAAGATACACATAAGCATATACATGCATACTAGCAAGCATTCATAAATGCATGCACATATAGACATTCATTCATACATGCATATGGGCTCTCATTTAAATAGGCATACATGCATTCATTCATGATCCCATGCATCCATTTGTTGCTTATCCATCTCTAATAGGGTTCAAAGTTTTAGTTGTACTCGTTCATAAATCCTTGGCATGCTATTGTGTTTGATGGGCGCTGAGCTTTGACTTCAAGTCAAGGGCACCATAAGGTCACGTCGATAACCCTCGAGTTTTCAATACTCATGAAGAGGCGTGAAATTACCTCCCACTTCCCAAATGGCCATTAGGGAGGTTAGAGAATGAGATTTATTACTGGCTGGTTAGAGCAACACGTGTGAGAAAAGTAGATTTTGAGCACATGTACTTGTCTCGAAAAGGTGGGATTGATGGCTCTTGTTATTACTGTTTCCATCATTCTTTTGCTCAACCATTGGTTTGATTTTATTGATATTTCGACCTTAGAACTTACTCTTCTATTGCTTATTTGGAAACCTGATTTTTGGAGTTTGTATATTAGGTTTCCCCGATGTGGGGTTTACTTTTGATTTTGCAATATGCTATGTGTTGTTTCTTTGACCATCGATACTATGATAGTCTTAAATTCAAGCTAAAGGCACAACTTCAAGATGGTCTTAGACTTACCCTAAAGCTTGGAATAAATGTAGGTTATTGGATCTGATGCCACAGAGGTAATTATCTTGGAACTCAAATTTGATGTGGGAAGGGTCTAGATCTTTTATGGTTCCTTTGAATTGATTTTCTTGATCTTCCGACTCCCAATTTAAGCTATATCCCCGAGCATATCTTTGCTAACCAAATTTTATTGCGATAGTGAGGAAATTTTCCATGTGGCTTTTTTCTGAAGTGTTTTCCTTGGTTTGCACTAATACTTTCAAGAATTTTGAGCTAGCATTTCATGAAGCTATCCATTGTGTTAGAAGCCGTGATTTTGGTCTCAACTTGGCTAGTGTGTCAAAAAAAAAAAAATTTCTTTCCACACCCTTTCATGCAACTCATCTTTGTTTTGGGTTCATAGTACAGTTCATGCTATTGTTCTTTTGTAGCTTTGGCAAGATTTACTTCTACTCCTTGTGTCCTTTGTAGCATCCTTGCCTTTAGAAACTTGCTTTGCAAATTAGTTTTTTGGTTATTTCTACTAAGTAGCTAGTATTCTACTTTTAAAATTCGTTATAATATGATATCAAAGTTGCGTAGTGGGAGAGTAATAGGCCATGTTCAGTTCATAAAAAGCTAGTGAGGCAGTTTATAAATCATAGGTTGCCTAAGAACCTAATGGGTGCTCAAGTTTTTTTTCTGTATACATGCTTGGAGTAATATTCTAATCCCATATAAGTTATGGACTCTGTATTGTATTAGTTCTACGATGGTTTGTCATATGATTGGTACTTGTTTTGTGTTAAATTGTGTGAAACCATATGCTACATTGTACTATATTAGATTTGAGTTTTGGGGACAAAACTCCTTTTTAGGAAGAGTGGATGTAATACCCCAAAATTTTGAGTACTTATGTTGAATAATTAATTAATTTATGTATAAGAGGACAATCCAAAAAGGGATTTTAATAGGGGACCAAGTTGTTTAACTCTTCAATCTTTGGGGATATTAGCAAAAGAAAAAAAAAAGGGGAAAGGGATGGATGAATAGAATAAAAGGGAAAGGAAAACCTAATTCCTTTTTTATTTTTCCACCTTCTCTTTTTGGGCTTCCATCTTCTCTTTCTAGTTTTTCCTCTCCTCTTCCTTTCTAATCCAAAACCCTTGAAACCTTCAACCTCCTATTCCTCCTACAATGCTTCTTCTTCTTCTTCGAATCAAAATTTTGTTGGCTATTCCTTCCTTCTTGTCGGTGATGGATTGCTCAATGGGTGTTCTTCCTACAACTTCTTTGGTAAGAAATCAACCACGTTTCTCATCTTTTCATCTTTGATTTGAAGTGGGTTAGCTCTAATCATTTAGGGTTTTCAATTTTGGGAGTGTTTCTATAGTTTTCCCCTTAATTTTGCCCATAATCTATCATTATTA